GAGTGTTTATCTCTGTTTGCTGTAACTTTGAACCTAAGGCTAGAGGGGATTCCTCTGGACTCTTTAACTTTGATTACCCTGTAAAGTTATTTTCCATCCTGATTTTACAGAGATGATTTTTACCTTTTTCTTTAATTAAAAGCCTTCTTTTTAAGAACCTGATTGATTTTTCCTTGTTTTTAGATCCAAGGGGGTTGGATCTTGATCCATCTGGAGTTGGTGGAAGGAAGGAGGGGGGATGGTTAATTTCTCCTTGTTTTAAGATCCAAGGGGTTTGGATCTGTATTCACCAGGGAATTGGTGAAGAGTCTCTCAAACCTACCCAGGGAAGGGAATTAGCACTTTGGGAGTAGTGGCAGCGGACCAGATCTAAGCTGGTAGTTAAGCTTAGAAGTTTCATGCAGGCCCCCACATTTGTACCCTAAAGTTCAGAGTGGGGAAGCAGCCTTGACAAGGGTCCTGGGGATTGAGGTGTCAGTGGGGTGGGAGACAGGGTGGGTGTGTCAGTGGCTGGACCCCAGGGACCCGTGTTGGGTGCAGGGTGGGGGTGTCAGTGGCTGGACCCCAGGGCCCCGTGGGGGCTGGGAATGGGGCCCCGAGCGCCCAGGCTGGCCTCTCCCTACCTGCCCTTTGTTGAGGGCGGCGTGCCGGGCCGAGCAGCAGTAGATCCACATGGTCAGGTACTTGATGAGCTCGGGGATGCTCTGCAGGGACGAGGGGAAGCCTGCGGGATGGAGAGTGGGCATCAGTGACCTGGCCCAGCCCTGCACTGCCTCACTCTGCTGCTCCGGGCCTCAGCTTGGCCATGTGCCATCTCCCCCCCTTGCCCGTTCCCACAGTGGGGCCATTCCCAGTTACCCCATGGCCCCATCCAACCACCGTGACCCAGGCCACCCTGTTCCTGCAGGGTCGGACACCTTGCTCCCCGTCCGGGGGTTATGACCCCTGCCTGCAGGGCCACTTGATATGAGCTGGGGTCTGGCCCCATTGATTCCAATGGAGAGACGCCCATTGACACCAGCTGGGATCTGGCCCCATTGACTCCAATGGCGAGACGCCCATTGACATCAGTCGGAATTTGGCCCCTTGACTCCAATGGGGAGAAGCCCATTAACACTAGCCAGGATCTAGCTGACAGTCGTTCAGCCTCCTGAATCATGCAGTCCAGAGATGCCCCCCAGTGGCCCCCGTATGGAGCCTGGTGACCAGCGGCTACAGAGCTCTGGGTTCACATGGTCCCTACCAGATGCCTCGTTCCCCAGGAAGCCTTCACGAAAGATCTCGTCTGCCCAGGCCTGCAGCTCGCAGTCGGCCAGGACGTGGGCGTCGCTGCGGTAATGGTGTCTGACGATGCCGGAGACGAAGCTGGAAAGAGCAGAGATGTGTCAGCCTGGATGGGTCGATGCAGGCCTCATCGCTCCCTAGTGCGCCAGCGTCACTCAGCCAGTGACTGCAAACAGCCCAATGCTACCATGCACCCTTGCCGGTACCTAGTGTCCCCTCCACTTCGCCCTTTCTTAGCTGTGGGAGCATGGCCTGGTGGCTAAGCCGCTGGCCTGAACTCCAGGTGATCCTGGATCTCGTCTACGGCAGAGTTGAACTTTTCATTTCAAATTGGACTTGCTCTTGTGGAAGTTAATATGTTAAACAAGAGTCGCCATTGGCACAAAACGTCTTGGCTTGATTGAAACCAAGTGTTTCCATTCACCCCCAATGTGATCTTTCCCCGGAAATTGGGTTGGGGCAAAATTGCTAAAAATTTGACTTTTCCTCTCAATTTTTGTGTATTTACAAATTTTCATTCATTTTTCCAATGCCAACCAATCTACCACACTAAGTAAGTAACGGGGGTTAGGTTAAAGGCAGGGGAGGGGATGTGACATATCTATCTTCAGGGTCTACATTGATCATAGACCTCTAATAAGTCAGCGCAAATTGCTTTGAATTTTTTGGGCATTCCCTTTCTCCGAATGCCAGCCATTCGTTAGCTGAGTGATCAGCCAGATCGCCAAGCCAGGCATCAATGTTTGATGGGGGTTGACTTTTCCATTGTGGTAGGATTAATTTTTTAGTGCCCAAAGCTGCCTGCTGGGATCACGCTGCCTTGTTACCAGGGAACCTCCAGGTATCAGGAATAGAATCTGTGACACACTATACCTCAAAATAGCTCCCTGTAAAACCCATATGCATCATTCATATATAGTTGTCATATTTCATACAAAGCATGCCATGTACGATATCATATGAAAGGTCATGATTTGCTGAAACCCCTTGTTCTTTCCAAATATGTATATTGTTAGTGTGTATGAAGTTATGATATTTTGCTGTGTGGTTATTATTGAAATATGCTTTAAATTTGCTAGTGACATACAAAGAACTTCTCCCCACCCCACCCAGGAGGGTGTTCAATGATCATTAATAAACAGGGGAGTTGTAATTAAGGGATTTACACTTCAATGAGGGCTGCCCAAACACCACACAATGGGGACTGCTCCCCTCTCTGACCCATTTGCACAAGACCCACCAAGGGGATTGCTCAACCCAGTGACTTAGCAAAGCCCATCAGCACATGTCTCGGCAAGTCTTTTCTAGGCACATGGACTGAGGGTATGAAATAAGGGACAGTGGCATCATTCCTTGGCCTGTCTCCTCCTTCACCTACGCTGGAAGCAACAAGAATGCTGAGAAGATGAAAACTTTAACTGAGGAGACTGGTCTCAGGCTTCAGGGAGAAGCCTGTGTATTAAGAACTGTAACATCCAGTGGGATGAGAAAATTGTTTGATCTAAATGCTGCCTAGGTAATAAGGTTTAAGATTCAGACAGTGCGCTTACCTTTTATTTTTTTTGGGTAACTATCTCTAACCTCTTATGCCTGCCATGTATAATCACTAAAAAAAGCTATCTTTCTGTAGTTAATAAACCTGTTTTATATTTTACCTAAAACAATTTGGTTTGGTTGAAGCGCTCAGGAAATCTCAGCTCAGGTACAAAGACTGGTGCATGTCCTCTCCGCATTGAGGGAGGGGCGGACTGGGTAATAAACTGAAACTGGCCAGGCTTCTGACCAGGGCAAGATGGTATCATTCTGGTGTGCAAGGCTGGAGAGAATTGGCTGGTGCCCTTCTCTGTGTGATTCATGAGTGGCTCAAGGATCATTCATGCAATCTAGCTGGGTGTGTGGGGGCAGGGCAGTGTCTTTGAAAAAGTGCCTTTTAGGGAATCCCAGTTTTTTTTAACTCAGAATTCTTTATGTGGCAGGAAAGCCGTGTTCTAAGCAACTCTGAGCTGGTGGGAATTTTCCACATGCCATCTGCTTCATCGCCACCCTCTGCCCCGGCTCCTGCTCCTTACCTCTCAATGGCCGACCAGATCTTCAGCCCATCATCCCTGTAGTAGTAATTGGGGATGCTGTCAACCCCACGCTCTTGGATGTCATCAGGGAAGCAGAGGGAGGTGTAGGTCAGGCAGGACATGCCCTTGGCCATCAGCACCTTGGTCCCCTCGAGCCCCGAGCCCATGGCCTGGGAAGGGACCAGAGACAGAGCCTTCAACCTCTGAGCCACTGGACCAGGAGGTGGGTTAGAATGAAATACCGCCACGATCTATTTCAGCACAACACAACGACGGACAATACATCGCATGACAAATGTGTCTCCCCGATGTTTCGCTTTGCATTGTACCTCAAAATGACGGATCACTCATAACACCCATGTTTTCACAGAAACGTAGAATCGTGGGGCTGGAAGGGACTTTGAGAGGTCACTGAGTCCAGCCCCACCGCACCAAGGTAGGACCAAGTCAACCTAGACCACGCCTGAATGGTGTTTGTCCAATCAGTTCTTAGAAACCACCAAGGACAGAGATATTACACCCTCCCTTGCATGCCTGCCCTTTAGAGAGAGAAAGCTTTTCCTAATTCATAGATTCATAGATTCTAGGACTGGAAGGGACCTCGAGAGGTCATCGAGTCCAGTCCCCTGCCCGCATGGCAGGACCAAATACTGTCTAGACCATCCCTGATAGACATTTAATATTTAACCTAAATCTCCCTTGTTGCAGATTAAGCCCATTACTTGATTTAGCCCATTAGAATCATAGAATCATAGAAGATTAGGGTTGGAAGAGACCTCAGGAGGTCATCTAGTGCAAGCCCCCGCTCAAAGCAGGATCAACCCCAACTAAATCATCCCAGCCAGGGCTTTGTCAAGCTAGGCCTTAAAAACCTCTAAGGATGGAGATTCCACCACCACCCTAGGGAACCCATTCCAGTGCTTCACCACCCTCCTAGTGACATAGTTTTTCCTAATATCCACCCTACACCTCCCCCACTGCAACTCGAGACCATTACTCCTTGTTCTGTCCTCTGCCACCACTGAGAACAGTCTAGATCCATCCGCTTTGGAACCCCACTTCAGGTAGTTGAAGGCAGCTATCAAATCCCCCCTCACTCTTCTCTTCTGCAGACTAAATAACCCCATTACTTCTTGTCCTGCCTTTAGCAAGACCAGAGAACAATTGATCACCATCCTCAACAGTCCTCAACATATTTGAAGACTATCAGGTCCCCTCTCTCGGTCTTCTCTCAGGACTAAATGTGCCCAGTGTTTTTTTAACCTGGCCTCATGGGTCAGGGTCCTGAAAACTTTTATCATGTTTGTTCCTCTTTCCCAGACTCTCTCCAATTTGGCCACATCTTTCCTAAAGTGTGACCCCAGCCCCCTCAGTTCTCCAGCTGAGGTCTCACCAGGGCCAGACAATGACCTCCCAGGTTTTACACACGACACTCCTGTTAATTCAGCCTAGAATTATATTAGTCTTTTTCCCAACTGCATCGTATTGTTCTCTTATATTCCATTTGGGACCCCAATATAACTCCCAGATCCTTTTGAGCAGTACGACCCCCCTCCCCCACCCCTGGCAGCCAGTTATGTCCCATTGTGCAGATGGGCATTGACGTTTTCCTTCCACAGTGATGCACGTTGCCCTTCTCTTCATTGAATTGCAGCTTGTCGATTTCAGCCCAATTTTCTGAGCTTTCACAGTTGCTTTGATTTCTAATTCTGCCCTTTCCAGAGGAGGCCGGTACCTCGGGTGACAGGCCAAGTACGTGGCTCTGGGAGGGGAGTGGGGGCTAGTGGTTAGAGAAGAAGGAGCTGGAAGCCAGGACTCCTGGGTTCCCTCCCCGGCTCTGGGAGGGGAGTGGGGGCTGGTGGGTTAGAGCTGGGGGGCTGGGAGCCAGGACTCCTGGGTTCTCTCCCCAGCTCTGGGAGGGGAGCGGGGTCCAATGCCCCTGACTATGGCATCCTCTCACCCTTTCAATGTTCCCTCCACGTCTGAGTAGCAGGGTCCTGGCCATGACATTGATGTGCAGCGTGTAGCGGGTGTGGGGCAGCAGCAGCTGTGGGGGAAGAGACACAGGAGTGGGTGAGGGCAAACAGGGAGCCACCGCACCCCCACCCCCACCCCTGCATGTATCCGGTGGGGGCAAGGACCCGGCCCCTCTGATAAGCCAGCAGCGGCTCCTTCTTCCCCATCATTCAGGAGGTGGGGGACGTGCTGGACCACGATGGGTAGAACGCAACCAGCGTGGGGCAAGCCCAGCCTGGCACACCGGGCATACACACCCTGCCGGGTATATGCAGGTGCGGCTGGGCACAGGTGGGTGCTGGCAGTGGGGCCCGTCTGGCACGCTTCCCCTGCTGGGCTCTTCTCTCCCGCACATCTGGGCACAGCTGGCCTTAAAAACAAGGTCTCACCTTGAAGAGCGGGTGGCACATGGGCAGCTGGCGCAGGGTGGCCAGGGTGAAGGCCTCGTCGATCAGGTGGGTGAGCAGCAGGTGGCTGACGGCCTCGTGCACCAGGAACTCGGCGTAGCGCACCCAGGTCTTGGCCAGGATCCAGTCCCACTCGGAATCGCTGGGCAGGAAGATGGGGCTATCGGGGCCTGGGCATTGGCTGAGCTGTGCGGGGGTGGGAGAGAGACACAGGAGGATTGGGGGGCCGGGTTGGTGCAGGCCGGGGGTGTGAATCCTGCTGCTTCCCCAGGGGAGCCCAGGGGCTGGGACCCGGCTGCCAGGATGAGGGGACATGACGGTACAGCAAATCCAGTGTTAGGAAGAGGAGACACACAGCTGGGGTGTGTGTACACGCACGCAGGCACACACAGAAGGGTGTGGGGGGATTAGGGAGCCAGGACTCTTGGGTTCTCTCCCCAGCTCTGGGAGGGCAGTGTAGTCTAGTGGTTATAGCAGGGCAGGGCTGGGAGCCAGAACTCCTCGGTTCTCTCCCTGGATCTGGAAGGGGAGTGGGGGATAGTGGGTTAGAGCAGGGGGGCTGGGAGCCACGACTCCTGGGTTCTCTCCTGGGCTGGTCCCTTAGATGGCAATGCCCAGCCCTGGGACTGTGTAGGGGTGGGGGCTGCGTGGGGGTCCCGCTAGGCAGCGTGTGGGGGCGCCAGGGGCTGTTACCTGGATGGCCACGGGGATGAGCTCCCCGGAGGGCTGCAGGTGCAGCAGGCAGAGGGGCGCGGCGATGTACTGCTGGTAGCCGTTGATCGTGTTGGCCGGGACGCCCTCCAGGATTTTATAGTCAGCGAGGAAGATGTTCCCCTTCTGCAAGACACAGGGAGAGCAGACCAGAGTGTGGGGGCCACCGTATCCGCGGGTGCAGAGCGGGGATTCTGGGGCACAGGGGAAAGCTGGGATGCTAGTGCTGTGAGCTTCCACACAGCAGTGCCCTCTCCCAGCGTTGTGAGCTTCCCCGCTGCAGTGCCTCTCCCAGCGCTGTGAACCTCCCACAGAAGTGCCCTAGGACTAGCCCCTGGAGCCGAGTGGCCAGTGTGAATGCAGCCACTGGCTCTGGAGTAGGGCCAGCTGGACACCTCTGACCTGTGGCTGCTCATGCCCAGAGCGACGCTGGGGAGGGAGCCAAGAGCTCAGACGTGGCGGAGTCCCACCAGGGGTGTCCCTGGCACCCCACTTACCTCCAGCTCGTCCTGCAGGCTGGTGCTCTCCCCCAGGGAGGAGGCCACCATGGCCGGTGTGACAGGGAAGTTGCAGGGGAGCTCTGTGCAGCGCCGGATCACCATCGGGTGGACCCCGTTCAGGAACTGGTACCCGAAGAACGTGTCCTCTCGCCAGTGCACCCGCACGTACTCTGGGGGGACACGGGCAGGGCAGCTGCGGGGTTAATGTGCCCTGTCGGGGCTCAGGGGAGCCGGGTTCGAGTCCTACCCTGGGTGCCTGGGGTAGCTTTCGGCGACTCTCGGGGCCACGGCCTCCCCCTGCTGGAGAACGGAGCTAACAGTCCAGCATGAGGGGGGTCCAATCTCAGTGGGGGTCTGGGCAGCCCCCAGCACAAGGGGGTCCCTGAGCATGATCAGGGGGGTGTCTATACAGTGCCCGGCACAAGGGGGTCCCTGAGTGCGGTCAGGCGGGGGGTGTCAGGGCAGTACCCAGCACAAGCAGCACTGGGGTATCTAGCTGCTTGTGTCACACCCGTCCCAATCACCCTGCTCTGTGCGTGGGGGCTCCCGTGGGCCCAGGTGAGTGGGATTTGGGGGTGGGTCGGGGGGTCACCCACCTGTGATCGGGGTCTTGTTGAAGCAGAAAACCTTGTTGATGTCGTCCAGCTTCGCCCAGGAGTTGGTGCAGCTCAGGAAACCCTTCAGCCGCAGCTCCACCTGCCTGGGGGGACAGAGCAAATGTGTTGGAACAGGCCGGGGGTTCGGGCCTGTCCCCGGGAATGGGGTGGAGATGGATGGGGCTCGGGGCAGGGTTACTGTACTGGGTTGTGTACAGCGTTAGGGTTGTGTACAAGGTTACGGTTACTGTACATGGTTGTGTACAGGGTTACGGTTACTGTAGAGGGTTGGGGTTAGTTTCTAAGGGCAGGCCTGGGGCAGGCGCTGGGAACAGGTCTGGCCATGGGGAAGCAGCACCTACGCATTCCCTCCACGCAGCAGGAAGTTGGTGCTCTTGGTGAAGGAGTACATGGTGTTACAGTCCAGCTCAATGACGTTCTCCACCGCCAGGCACCGGGGCAGTCCGGCAGCGTACTCCTTCCATCTGGGCAGGGAGAGACCGGGAGGGATGTTAGCCCTGGCCTGCCACTGCCCTGCCAATCCCCCAGCCACAGTCCCAGGCTGACCTGTCCTGCAGTTCCTATCACCCCCTCCATCCCCGGGACCCCTGTGACATTATGAGTGTAATATAATATCTCATTGAAAGATGACAGGGCCAGAAAGAGTTAATTAACTCACAAACTGACCTGACCTATGGCCAAACTTTAGAGACTGGTTAGGAAGATATGTAAATGAACAGAGCTTTGAAATGCAGCCGGCATTTTTAGATCTAGAAGGGGAGGTGTTTGCTCAGGTCTTGTGATGTAAACAACCCCGTCTTGTCTATTGCTGTGGCTTTGATTCAAAGATCAAAAAAGGAATATTAACATTTAGGAAGACACTTGAATGAAATCCTATTATTGTCTCTTTGAAAGTGGTGGTTGTGGAAGAAACGAACTCCACTCTCAGGTTGGAAGCAACAAAATCAGAGACAGTTTTATTCAGGACATGCAATTGCAAGGGAAGAATAAGGTGCCACAAGTACTCCTGTTCTTCTTTTAGCTGACAGAGAGCATCTCTGCCTCAGTTTCTCCAAAGTACAAGGAAAATCACACAAGCATTTATACCTCTTTGTGACGTGCATGAATTAAAAACATCTGCATTTTCTTTAGGCTATTTGCTATCTAGTCCAGTATTTTCTCACTTTCTCTTCTCAAACATCATTATCTCAAGGCGGGGTCACACTGACTATTCTGCTGTTTCCCACTCGCTTCTGACGTGAGCCCGGCTTCTACAGGTCTTGACAGAACAATTGCTCTGACTCTTATATGGCTACACTTAAACCCTCTCTTTCTTTCCCTGCTTCCACATGGTACCCTGTATCTGAACTGTTTAATGGATAAATTATCCTGTGCTAATTGCCATGATGTTTGGGAGAAGGGAAGTTAAGCCTATTGTTTTCTCAGGCCAAAAGGCTGCTGGAAATGTATAAAAACCCTGGGACATGATCCTGCTTCATCTCAGATCTGCTTTGGGGTTCAAGAGGGGGAAACCTTAAGCCATAAGGATTGAGATCCCCAGTCACTGACTAGAGTCACCGTGAATATGGACATTGGACTATAAACTATGGGGGGAGGGATAGCTCAGTGGTTTGAGCATTGGCCTGCTAAATCCAGGTGTAGGGAGCCAGGGTGGCTTCCCTCCGAACCTGAGGGTAAAGTGCCTTTCCCTCAGCCTGAGTGGGCGGGGCCAGCCCAAGCTTGCTCCACCCCCCGGAAGGGAGGGGTGGAACAGGAAGTATAAAGGGCGGGGCCCTTAGCTCAGTTGGGGCAGCACCAGGGAGGGAGGCAGACACAGACCGCGGG